GTAGTGATTTAAGAGCGATGTAGGAGTGTTTCTGACTTTACACGAGGTCCCAGGAACTTAACCCTTGTGTAAGTTGCGAGTCTACTGAATATTGGAAAATTTTTAGAATTTTGGTAATAGTGATAAACTTGAAATATTTCCTGCCAGATTTCCCTCGTGAAAAAAAAATATATATCGCTATATATAGGAAAATGTCGATAATTTTGGCAGCTGCGATGTCAAAAAATCGTTATATAAAGTCGCTATATATCCCGACCCCACTACTAACAACTTCAAGGAGCAAGGGCAATAGGTAAGGTTGTTCCACAGGGTCCCTCAAAATGAAACCTAGAAGAAAAAAAATCAGTCATAATAACATTAGTGTATATGTTTTGAAATTCCAACAATAATCACTTGTTTTTAAATTAAATTATCTGTTTTTTAATACATATTTACACAAACAGAGATGTATCCATACTAAATAATGTGTCCTACAGTAAAATATATACTGGATGGATACACACTTAGTCTAAAAAAAAGCCGGTTAGTCACAACGATCTAAATGACTCACAAAGAAAATGTGTTTTGGTCGCCATGCTGACCCAAAGTCGTATAAGAAAATGTCCCAAATACAATAAATGAGAGACATAACAAAATAAAAGTCACTCTACTTCATGACTGTGCTATTAAGTACAAATACTGTATATAATATCCTTGCAGAGGTGAGTATTTCAGCAATTACAACACAAATTCGGGAGCTTCCCTTTGTGTGTATTATAGCTGAATCGCCAGGCAAGAGATGAGGTTCGCGATGCGTATAGTGGCAGGGTGAAGGAAAGGCTTTGAAAATAGCAATTAAATGCCAGGTAACGACGTGTCCTCCTAATATTACTTATTAAGTAATTATTAGATGTTTTAATTGCCTGTATGTTGGCCTGGCGAATTGGCTAGGAATTAACATACCTAGGTAGCATTTGCTGAGCGTTGCATTCACAGCTTGAACAAAAATAGACACATTTGTGAACAACCAAGTCATAAACATACATACTACTAGGGGGCAGATCTAGAAATATCAAAAGGGTTCAAGAAGTTGTGGATGGGGAAACATGGCGAGCAGAGCGAGCCCACCCAGCTGGGGGGGTGGGGGAGCCACTGCACTCAGTCCCCCCACCATTTTTGTAAATCTGACCAACATGAGGGGAATTTTGAGACCATGTGCACTTAATATTAGTAGATATTCTGAGGTCAATAGTAATTACTTTTTACGGTACAAAAATTCCAATAAATAGAGGAAAAGGTGATTAGAATTTATTTAAAAATCATAACATAAGTTTATTATGTATATCAGGGAAAGTGTAATGGTAGAACACTTACTGAGAGAACTGAAGCAAAAAGAGACTACATCAAGTGCTTGAGAGAACACCACAAGTGAAAAGAAGGATGAAGTAGATAAAGAGACAGTGGGAAATATTGAAAATAAATGGAGGTAAATGTTATCCAAAGTTTTAATATGGACAGTTAAGCATGTGTTATGGTTTGGTGAGGTGAGGGAAACTGGTACCAAATGAAAGTAGGTCTAATTTAAAAATTGGTACCATCACCATGGTTGTTAAATATCCTATGCATGAGGTGAAAGAGGAAGTAATAGTGATAAGAGGGGAGAAAGTTGGTGAACAATGACAAGGGATGAAACAAAAGGTGAGTCAGGTGCTGTCTGCAGATGACAATGCTTCAGTAGTGAGAACCTTACAAATGCTAGATAATGTGTACGAGAAGAAGGTTGAGTGTGTGTGTGAAAAAAGTAAAAATGTGAATATGAATAAAGTAGGGAGAAACAAATACCTTTGAAAGAAGATATTAGAAGATAGAATAGAGGAAATGAAGTTGTTTCACGTATATGAGACTGGATGAGTCAACATTTGGTGTGATGAATTAAACCAGTGACAGAAGGAAAGAATATAACAGAAGCCATGAGATAATATTAAAGGAGGGGATGTAAAGAAGAATTATTGAGTCATTATTATTGTATGGGTATGAAACATGGACTCTGGATGCAAGAGGAAGGAACAAATTACAGTATAATCAAAGTAAATGACTTGCTGGAGAGTGGCAAGTGTGGGTAAATGTTTTACTTCACTGCCATAATGCTGCACATTGCTTGCCACTCATTGTAATTAAAAGCAATATACAGCTATTCCTCGACTTACGACCGCCTCGGTTGTACCAAAATTTTGTCAAATTACGTATTTTCGAGTCCCTGCGTTAGTGATTGTGCTGTGTACTGACAAAATTTTTGTTTGTAATTCACTTTAAAATGGCTGGCAAGCTTAAAAGTGAGAGTTTTGTGGTGCTGACAAGAAAGAGAGACAACCATTTTAGATTTTATATGTATTATTTAAGCATTTTCAACTTACGACCTGGATTTGGATCCCTCACCCCGTTATAAGTCGAGGAGCAGCTGTAGTTGATACAGTACTTGCACTAAGATAAAACACAGCACGCGATAACACGTCTGATGCATATGAAGATAAACAGGGAATATGGGAGTGGTGCACCCCGCCTTGTATGACGCTACGCAGAAGAAACCTCATATTCGTACTGAGTGACATAGTAGTTCCATTTACTCAATCGTGTTAAATCCAAATGGCATCCATGTTCTAGAAAATGTGTTCCCTATTACATTCATCATGCTATAACCTAATCATACTATGAAAATGCACGTTATAGGAGAACTGACTGCATGCGGCTGTCAAGAGCAAGGAAAAAATTATAAATTATCTTACACGCCCTTAATATTAAAAAGAAGAAAGAATGAAAGTACAGTACAGTAGTGAGAATTGACTAACCCAAAGGAAGTAGTGACTGGTGTTGCCTCCAAGTTAAATTCTGCCACTGGGACTCCTCGTTCTGCAACTTGTGGGGCAAACATGGCAGCAGGATAGACAACTGATGATGTTCCTACAACCAGGCAGAGATCACAGTTGCTTAGCTCATCACCTGTAAATTTCAATGAAAAAAACATTCTTTAAATCTATGTTCACAAAATCTAAATTTTCAAATTTTTGCCACTCCATATTATACTGCTCAAATTATTCTTAAATAAATGAATCCAATTTTTACCCTGTCACATTGGCTGTAGGTCTGATGAGGTGCACTCATAGAGGGACCCAAACTAACCTAATCTTACCAAAAGGTCTGACATTCTGTAAGACTAGCAGACACCCACCCAACAAGGGGTCACAGCTCAAGGTTGAAGTAGCCACAAGTTCAGAAAACAGTGAGGGCAAACTTTTCAAGAGTGAGAATTGTGAACTCTTGGAACAACCTGCCAGAGTGTGCTGTGACGGCACCGAGTGTAAGACCGAAAATTACATACAAAGTAAAAATAAATGCAGCAAAGCACACTTACTTTGAGGTGTGTATGTAGAAGACTCCTGGTTGATGATGATGGGAATTAGAATTGGGGGTGGAGGAGAAGGGAGAAGAGAAGGAAGTGGGGATGGAAGAGAAATCACCCCATACTTCATGCCGTCATATCACCCATAAAATTTTAAGTTCACTAGGTGTAATTCAAGATTATTTTCTTTAAATCAACACTGCACTGCACTATGTATTGTCAATATGTTAAATAAATTTCAGAATGACCAATAATTGTACTGTAAAAATAGTTTATGTTGAAGAGAGTCTCAAGCAAGATGTTACCTCTAATGACCAGAGATAAAAACTGACGCCTGTTTGGTGAGTTGAGTGGCTGTTTGGTGCACTAAAAACTAGTTTCCTATACAGTGGTCCCTCGGTTAACGAGCGCCTCGGTTAACGAGATTTCGGTTAACGATTTACCTTCCATAAGATTCTTAACTTCGGTTGACGAGCAATCCCTCGATTAACGAGTTTTTTACGAGCCGACTTCAACATGTTTTCGCTTGCATTTGGCGGTCCACCAGCTGTAGTATTAGTCCGCCAATACAGTAATCGGTTTTAGGGCTTAAATTCCTTACTATTTTAGTAAATATCAAGAAGTTTATACTATTCAATAATTTTAAAAGTTTAATATTAACTTTTTCAGTCATTTTAACAATTATTGAACATAATTGAAGGTAAAGAAACTAGTTTCTGGCGTGCCATCCAGCCTGTTAACACACCAGACAGGCATTAGTCTCTCTCTGTTTTCAGTGGAGGTAACATCTTGCTTGAGACTCTCTTCAACTAAACGCTTTTTTTTCTGTGTTTCCAAGTAAATTATTGGTCATTTTGAAATATATTTTACATATTGACAATATATAATGCAGTGCAGTGTTGATTTAAAGAAAATAATCTTGAATTACACCAAGAGAGCTAAAATTTTATGGGTGAAATGGTGCCATGGGGTGACTTCTCTTCCACCCCAATGCCTTCTCTTCTTCCTTCTCCTCCACCCCCATTCTAATTCCCATTATCATCATCAACATCCAGGAGCCTTATACATACACACCTCAAAGTAAGTGTACTTTTCCACCTTTTTTGTTGAATTTAGGCAATTTTCGGTGAGCTGGAACTAATTACCCAAAAACCCATTGAAACAATGGTTTCGGTTAACGAGTTTATCGGTTAACGAGCAACCTGCTGGAACGGATTGTGCTCGTTAACCGAGGGACCACTGTACTTCAATTATGTTAAATAATTACTAAAAATTTTAATATAAAACTTGAAAAATTATTGAATAGTACAACCTTCTTGATATTTACTCAAATGGGAACGAATTTAAGCCCTAGAACCGATTACTGTATTGGCGGACTAATATTCCAGCTGGTGAGCAAGCGAAAACATGTCGAGAGGAATTCGTTAACCGAGGGGCCACTGTACAGGTACAGCACATTACAATCTTAATAAGTTAATTCGCATTTCTCTACAAAGGGTGATTTCCAATGAATGAGCATTGGGAGCTAGAAACTCCAAAATAGGATCTAGTTACATTTTACTAAGTAAAGAGAATGTTATGGATGTGATTGTGGGTCTCTGTGATTAGGGGTAGGTTATTTAGGATATCTGAGTAGGGTTATGCTGCTGTTCCTCACTAGTACAGGTACTCCACCGATTATCCGGCAACTGATGGTCCGGCAACTCCTTTAGCCCGGACAAAATTATGAGGGGGCACTTAACTTCCCTCCCAACCTGGGTGAAGGTAGTTTTTCGCTTTAAGTTTTTATCTTATAAGATGTAGCTGACTAGACTTAGCAGAATATAAATTACATTGCTGGAATCCTTGTAAGATAGTGATTAATTTGAGTATAAACATCATATAGTTTGTATAAGAGATAGAAATTTTAGTTTAGTGTAGTACATTTGTGTGCAAGATTTTTAACTCATTTTCGAGAAGATATACAGTGGTCCCTCGGTTAACGAACACAATTCGTTCCACAGAGTCGTTCGTTAACCGAATCCATTATTTCATGGGATATTGGGTAATTGGTTCGAACTCACAGAAAAGTACATACAACGTAAAGCCAAAAAGGCATTAAGTCAGAAACACTCCTAAAATATCCCTAAATCGCCCTTAAATCACTATATATATACGTACATATACACTCTTACTCTTAAATCACTACTGTAATGTGATACAGGTGATTAATTTTTATCTCTTGTGCAAAATATATGACGTTTATATTCATATTATTCGCTGCCTTGCAAGGATTCCAGCAATGCAAATTATACTATCTTAATTTTAGTCCGTGATATTATATAAGATAAAAACTTAAAGCCTACTGTATAACCAACAAACCCTTGCTGGGAGTGGGGGGGGGGGTGACATGTTTGACAGTTGGCACTGAGGTCTAGTGAAGTATTTATTTGTTTATTTATGTCCTTTAGATTGAGATTATGTTTTTTGGTTATAAAATGTCAAGGAACTAATTGGGAAGAATATAATTTGCATTGCTGGAATTTATATAAGATAGTGATTAATTTTAATGTAAACATGCGATAGTTTGCACTAGACAAAAATTTTAGTAATCATTTTGTACATTATTTTGATTACATGTACAGGTCAGCTTTGCCCTTAGGACAGTGTGTGCATGTAAATGAGTTTCAACAAATGAATAAAGTTACATATATCGAGCCAAAAATAATAGTTGAAAAACTTTATGTAGACAGAGCTTGGATGGTTAACTTTTAGAATGACCAATACTTTTAATATAAAAAATGCCCAAATATTAAAGAGCAAAATTTTCTTGATATTTACTCCACTGGAAACAAATGTAAACATAGAACAGATTACTGAATTGGCAGACTAGCCCATCAGCTGATCAGCTGATGCTCACAACAAAACGTGTTTGTTGTAAGGATTTCATTAATCGAAGTTCTGTTCGTTAACCGAATTGAAGATCCTTATGGGAGGTAATTCATTCACCGAAATTTCGTTAATCGAACCTTTCGGTAACCGAGGGACCACTGTCTGTAACTTTCTAAATTTATTTTTACTCATTTACATGCACACACCATCCTAAATATATATTGTTAAGAAAGGGTAAACCTGTAATAAGTTAATTACAGTCAACCCTCACTTTACGCGGTCCCACATTCCGCGTTTACACGGTGCCCTGCCAGAACCCAGGATGCTCACATTCCGCGGTGGGTGTACCCTTTACGCGGGTGAAGTATAATTTTTTTATTTAGCTCATAAAATTCATACAAATTATCCAGCCAGAATATAATTTACATTGCTGGAATTCTTACAATTTGATGATCATTTTGAATATAAACATCATAGATTTTGCATTAGACATACAAATTTTAGATATAATGTTTACTCTGAGTAAATATGTTATCTTTTGTGCAAAATATATGACATTTATATTCAAAATATTCCTGGTCTTACAAGGAATCCAGCAATGTCAATTATATTATCCTAACTTTAGTTTGAGGTATTATTTATTACTATACCTGGTTTTCCCCCCAAAATTTCTCAGAGAGGGAAGAGCCAGCGAGTGTAGTGTGAGAAGAGGGGGAGGGAGTTGAGTCCATTATTTGAATGGACATTAACTTGGCGACTGTATTTCTCTATTTCTCTTAAGTATTAATTGTGTGCATGTACCATCATAAAATTAAGATGTTATTTTTACTAGAACATAGGTATTGTGTTGGAAAAAGTGGAGTTTTGGGGTCAGCTGGTCTCTATTTCATTTAATCCCATATGTTATGTTATTCACTTTACGCGTTTCTCACTTTCCGCGGTACCCTGTGGGTTACATTAACCGCGTAAAGTGAGGGTTGACTGTACTAAAAATTTTATGTCTAGTGCAAACTATGTGATGTTTACAGTATACTCACATTAATCACTATCTTACAAGAATTACAGCAATGCAAATTATATATTGCCAAGTCAATTCAGTGACATTTTATTAGGAAAAAACTAAAACTCCTTCTGTTTTGATAACTACAGTACACACTGTTATCTATCTCCCCTCCTTGACAGCTGTCAACACGTCAACCCCCCCTTTCCTCACAGCCAGGGTGAAGGCAGTTTAGGCTTAAAGTTTTTATCTTATGACATGTCGCAGACTAGACTTAGCAGAATATAAATTACATTGCTGGAATCCTTGTAATATACTGTAGTGATTAATTTGAGTATAAACATCACAGTTTAATTTAAGTTTCTAGCAGTCCATGGTGCTTTAGGGACACAGGAGGTGTATAATTAGTGGGTCAGAGGTGTATTATTGAATTAGATGACCTCGGTTGGTCCAGCAAAACGGATAATCCAGCAAGGCTTTGGAACCAATGATGCCGGAAAATCGGTGGTGGACCTGTATTTTAGTGAGGGAGGATTATTGAACATGTACCATAATTGCAAAGGTGGTTATTTTGCTGGGCTGATGGACAAACTCATAAAAATATGGAAAATATTCCAGCAATAAAAAAGAGGCTAAGACTAAATCACAAAGAGAGTTCATAAGATCATCAAGAGCTCACACAGGAATAGGTATGGAAAATGAAGAGGTAAATCAGCTTACCTGCTTTGTCTAGTACATCGTGATCAAGACCTTCTCCAAACCAGACAACATTTGGACGTAGGAGTTCTGAGCAAGTTCCACACCTTGGAAGTTTATCCTCAGGAATTCTAGCATCCTCCTTTGCATTTATAGCACTGCAATAAACAGTACATGTTGTAATTAACCACATGAATGAGGGCATTTCAAGGATCACCACAGAAAATTGATAGGTGAACTATCTGATAAACTGTACAGTCATAACCCAACTTAACATAGTACAGGTACAACCCCAAGATAATTTAACTCAATCAATCCCAATAGTTTGGTTAATTTGGGACATATCAGGACAAGAGCCCATTAGAACTGCAACATAATCACATACCCTTTTCCCTCCAATGCAGGACAAATAGGACTGTCGGTATTCGCCTTCACTTCTCCACACTGGGTACATTCAGTTCGAAAAAGTGATCCATGCAATTCAAGTATATTTTTTGATCCTGCCTTTACATGTAATTCGTCTATATTCTGTGTGATGACCACTAGCCGTCGGCCCTCTGCTGCAAGACGTTCTTCTGCCTCTGCTAATGCCACATGGGCCTGGAATAACAGAGCAAATTAGTGACATCACATGGCAATAAAAAACTTGACAATGGTACACTAAACCTATGTACAGTATTCAATTCAATTTCATAATTATCAATGTTCCTATGACAACTACCATTGCTGATATTATTCAATTAAGGTGCCATGGTATTCCACTCCAAGAATTATCAGGCTGTCTTTACCAATAACTAGATACCCAAACTTTCAATTTCATTCAGCCATCCCAGTCTCACCTTTCCCCTGTCTTCCTAAACTTAATTTTAGCCCTTAATATATCCATCATTATCCTCATCCCTAATCATAAGGCCAAAGTACTGTACAGGTACAGGGTATATTATCTCATTATTGTCAATAAATTTACAGTACAATATTTCTTGCATTGCTCTAGCCAAAAAATCAGTACAGTAAGTGTATTGTACAACAACCCATGGTTCAGAAAATTTGATGGTCAGGTCCCGAGGGTGCCGGATTGGAGAGGTTCAACCTGGACATTATTGTACCTGTATTATGGAATTTGTTCCATTTTAGTGCTAATTACATATTGTAATAGGAGATGAAATGCTTCATTAGATATAAACCAACCATATACAGGTGCTCCTCTACTTACAAACGAGTTACGTTCCTGAGGCTTGTTTGTAAGTCCAACTTTACTCTTGTAGATACCAAACATATTGTAAAAATGAAAAAATTATGGATATCCATTTGAATTCTGGCGGGAATGTCTCGGCAGCAACCGTATCTGAACTGGCAGCTTCACCAGTCATCTTCATATTGTGGAAGTTATAACGATGTTTAAATCGTTGAAACCATCCTCGGCTGGCCATAAAGGTCTCTTCCTTCAATCCTTCACCCTCTTTTGCTTTTATGCCTTCAAACAGGGATCTGGCCTTATGCTGGATAACCAAAAGACTCACAGGGGCATTGCATTGATTCTGGTCCTCCATCCACATTGCCAGCATCTTTTCCACCTTTTCTCTCACAGTGCTTCTAGTACAAATTGTCTTATTAGCACTCAGAGATGAACCACTTCCAGCACTAACCTAAATCTTGTCAGCGTTGGTCTGGTTAGTACACACCGTTGTGTGGGTTAGACCAAGCACAGCGGCTATGTCCACAGCACATTCCCCTTTTTCAAAACGGTTAAATACATCCATTTTCGTAGCAAGGGTAATGGTCTTACATTGCCTCTTGACTACACTAGCATCAGTAGCACTTGATGGGCACTTGGAAGCCATTTAGAATGGTTAGAGTATAGTTTTAGAGCAAAAGCACTTAAGCACACACGAATGATGTGAAGTCGTAACAAAGACTGGCTCGGAGTTGCTTGGGGACGCTGTGACATTCCGCGAGTGAGGGCAGCACGCCGAGCCGAGAGAGGGTAGTGCGGCCAGACAAGAACGGGTGATGCGCCATAGAAAGTAGTCCGTGACAACGCAAAACAACGTAGTACCAAATCACCGGGAAGTTAAATGAATTTTTGGTCTTAGGTTTAGCGACGTAGTACCAAAACAACATTAAGCGGGACGACATTATACGAGGACTACTGTACTTAAGTATAAGAAATCCAAGTTCCATAGCCTGTTGTGTGTGTTTAGTAAATCTATCTGCCAAGTTTTGCAGAATATTGGAATGAATATTGTGGCCCTAAAGAATGACTCAGTATCTTCTATATCTACATTAGATCTGTTAATTTGCCTAGTGCAACTATATCTGGGTATACAGGTAGTGTCACAGCACTTTGCTGATTGCTCCTAAACACCATTTTTTTTCCTTCATGTAACACTGTTGATAATGTACTGCACAGCACTTTGTTATTCAGCAATCTTCACTGATATAGTTGCGGTATACAAGCCCTATGGCTACATACTTACGAAGGATGAGTAGCCTAATAGCAACTGGACATTTTATTGGACACTAGTGGCTGAATAAACATCGCATATTGCCAACAGTTCAATTACTGTAGGCAATACATAAGATTATAGCACGTCATAAACATTCTCTGTATCACTTTTCACTATACTGTACAGTCAACCCTCACTTTACACGGTCCCACATTCCGCGTTTCCACGTTTACGCGGTACCCTGCCGAAACCGGAATGCTCACATTCCGCGGTGCGTGTACCCCTTTACGCGGAGAGCGGCTGGCGAGCCGCGCCATTTTTGGATCCAAACCTCCCGCCATCCGCCATGTTGTGTAAGCGGCGCGAGCAGGGTGCGCACAAGGTCACCCAGTCATCAAAACATTACCGAGTTCTTCACCCGCCACCCACCACAGCCGGCCCAAGTCAGTGATAGTGATAATTATAGTGAGGATATGGACTTATATGGACTTTGAGGGGTTTGACAAAGAGACCCTGCAAGCCTCTGTGGTGGATAGTGATACAATTGATACAAGTGATACAGGTGAGGGCCAATAATCTGACCTCTGCCTCGGAACCAACCCCCCATCCCCGTGTGCCCAGCCATCTTTTCTACTAATGTAAGTGTTAAAAAACCTAATATTATTGATATTTCTCTTAATTATTAATTGTGTGTGCATACCATCATAAAATTAATTAGTTATTTTTACTACAACGTAGGTATTGTGTCTGAAAAAGTGGAGTTTGGGGGTCGGCCCGGTCTCTATTTCAATTAATCCCATATGTTACGTTGTTCACTTTCCGCGGTACCCTGTGGGTTGAATTAACCGCGTAAAGTGAGGGTTCACTGTATTCATGATTCATCTAACACGCCTACAAAAAAAATGTGGCTTTATAAACACCTTTCAATCATTTCTGATACTTTTTATATCACAATTTATAAAATCACTGCAGCCTTCATTGATGAGTACTGTATAAACGCATGATATACCACAATTCGCCTGTAAGTCAAATGAAGCGATAAATATAGGCATGCAGGATGATGCAGCGAAGGTATTATGTAGCACTACACGCTACTGATCAATGCCCTGCAGCAGTTTAAACACAACTGAGATATGCGACAGGAGTGCCGCCGGCACGACGGACATTTGTTGAGCTAAAAAAACAAACTAATTTTTCCTTGGGAAGAACTAAATGGGTTAATTTGGCCAATGTTTCTGATATTTTGATTTACAAATTAAGCAATTTTTGAGAAAGTTTAATGAAAAAAAAAGCCCCTGGTGCTACGAAGGGTTTTTGGGTGATATTGTAGGAAAGATTGACCTAGGTAAGGAGGTCAATGATTTGGTATGTAGAGAGAAGACCTTAATTAGTTATTGGCAGAAGGTCGGGTATTTGTGTGTGGTGTAATGACCTTAATAGTAGTTATTTTGGTGAAGGTCAACTATTCTTGTATTGTGACTGAATGCAATATTTTTTATTAGGAAATAAATTAGTTAGGTCTTGGTCAGTGTTTCACCCTTCCTTCTCCTCTTGATTTGGTTCATGAAAAACACAAACTCAAAGTGCCTGCCTTGCCCTGCCAGGTACCTAAACAAAACTACATACTGTCCATGTGGTCTGGTGGCAGTGACCTTAAATTAAGTAGTTTAGTTAAGTAACCCCCCTTTGGATTAGTGACCACATTAATGGGCAGTACAATGGTACAAAAAATAATAAACAAATACAATAAATGTATAATAGATGAAATAATAAAAGAAAAATACTGTGTAGAATTCAAGCATCCCAAGCCATGCTGTCCTAGTTAGACACTTATCATATGTCTCATGATCCAGTGTCCTCAAACAATTTTATTATTGTCACCTACAGATTGATAAAAAAAATATCTATAATATTACTTGTGGGACTTTTTCTAGACATTAGTGTTAAAATAAGTTAGATCAAGTTAGTGCCACACTGAGTTATACACTTATTTGTGGTAAGCATTCAAAACTGACATAGGCAGGCACTAATTGGCTGAGCAATAATCAGTTCACTTTTCTCATTCACAGAGTATGTAGCTCAGAAAACAGTTGAGAATGTTGCATGTCAAAAGGTATCCCACTAAAGTTTTCAATTGTTTTATAAATTATAATAATTTTTGTTTTTTTAGTCATCGATGAAAATTTGGTCTCAGAGATACACCAAACAGCAGTTAGTAAGCTGAAAAGTGGCAAAATGATAAGTAAAGAAGGGTTACCAAACTGTTTGAAAAACTAAGAAATTTTGTCAGTTAATTACCAGAAACATAGGACTTTTTTAAGGCCTAACTGGAATCAATCTAAGTCATGATAAATTTATGCAGTATGATCAACTCACGGGGTTAGGAACCTTGGTGAGCATGAGTTCTCTCCGGTAATGGTAAAACTCCCATACCAATGAAGGATTTTGTCTGAAGGCAATTGGACTAGCCAGGTCTTGAGCAACAAATGTGCGCCAAAGTCCACCAGCCCCCCGAAAAGTAGGAACTCCTGATTCAGCTGACACTCCTGCACCTGTGAAGTACAATGCAGTACAGTATTATAAATAACAAACTACAGTACAGTACAGTATAGTCTGCATTACGCGGCTTTTGTTTACGCGTTTAGTCACTTACGCGGTGCCTTGCCAGAATGAAAATGCTTTAATTACGAGGTAAATTTGGTCATTTACGTGGCGAGCAGCTGGAGAGCTTCAGACCACTGCGCCATTTTTTACCCACACGGTCCATTCTTGACCATACGCGGGAAGCAGCGTGGTGAGTGGTGCGCATTAGGCCGCTCTTATGTTATCGCTGACGTCATATGACGTATCGGAACGTGATTGAGCCACGCATCCTTACCACCCACGCATTCCCTCCGCCGCTAGCTGTGATTGGTCTAATGTAACATGGCGTGCCCTGCCACCAGAGGGTAGAAGTCGCTGACCTAGCCGGGCCTGTCTCATTGTTCTCAGTCCGCGTATACAGTTCTCTCTTGTGCCTGCTATTCCCCTCACAACTCACAATGGCTTCTGCGGGACCCCCACCACCAGAGAAAAACATTGAATTACCTGGACTAAGCCATGATAATGTGAAGGAAATCATCGAGTTGGGGGAGAAACTTAAGCTCATCCTTGACAACGACCCAGACAAGCATCGGTATGAAGTATCTAATAACCATCTGACGAAAGTTATGGGGCCGTATATCCAGATCTATCTCGACAACATCAATGCTAGACGTCAAAGTAGTATTGAGGACTTCCTCGCCCGCAACCCACCACAACCACAGCCAGCCCAAGTCAGTGATAGTGATATTGACAGTGAGGATATGGACTTTGAGAGGTTTGTCTGGGAGGCCCTACAAACCTCTGCGAGTAGTGAAAGTGATTCACCGGAGGGCAACTAATCTGCCCTCTGCCTCGGAACCAGCCGCCATCCACGTGTGCCGACCCAGCTTTTCTACTAACGTAAGTGTTAAAAAACCTAATATTACCGGGTATTGATATTTCTCTTAATTATTAATTGTGTGTGCATACCATCATAAAATTATGAAGTTATTTTTACTACAAGGTACGTATTGTGTCGGAAAAAGTGGAGTTTGGGGGTCGGCTCAGTCTCTATTTCAATTAATCCCACATGTTCTGTTATTTCATTTACGCGTTTCTCGTTTTATGCGGTACTCCACGGGTTTAATTGACCGCGTAAATGCAGACTATACTGTATACTGTATTAGTGGATCCATAGCTTTCATAATATAATAAATTATTCCTCTGTCTTTGACACTTCATACCCTCCCAAGGGAGGATCCAGGATCTTTGGAATGAGGGTACTCAAGTAGTTGAGGTAGTAAGTATGTCAAGTACAAACGGTATAGTGAGACTTAATGCCAAGGAGCTTGTAACCATTTTTAACTTTTTCATTAATATTCACGCTAGTAATGCTATTCTACAATAAGTAATATTTTATCAATAAAAAACAAATTACAGTATATACAACCGAGTGCGAGTAAATGCTATATTTCCTGCAATACTGTACAAGTACTTGTAATACATTTTAAGTCCTTTATATAAATTTTTACAATCACTGTTAACTACACTTTTTATCTGAACATATTTCTAGCTATAGTTATTAGTTAAGATATAATGTATTAGTAAAAAATCATTGACCTGCAAAATATGAGTCATGGTTGATTCCGAATACAGTACCCTGTACAGCATCATTTTACAATTACCTGTACGTACATGTTTCCAGTAGTTGATACTCCACATGATGCATTACCAATTATATAATTATAGCGCAATAATAATACCTGGTAATAATAATAATACAATACTGTTTATTCAGCAACATCCTCAGATAAGTTAACTTCAGTTTAGCATGTACAGTCCCGGACGAAAGTTCTCACAACAATCAAGGCAGATGGTGCAAATTCCGATCGCCCTTACTGGACAACGGGTCTGCTGTCCAGTCATCGCCTCCCTCCCTCTCACCCTACACACACATACACACACACACAAAAAAAAAGCACCCTCGCAGTTCAACAATCGAGCTTCCCTTTCTCAATAAGGACTAAGGAAGGATGTCTTGGTTTTGTTAATAAATTCATGAAACAGTTTACTCAATCAAGTTTTACATTATTTGACATAATAGGATACCGGTAGCCTACGGCATTACAGTATTACATAATCATGACATAGTGCAGAGTGTGTTTTGGTGGCTGGGGTTCACAGCGCTATTAGAATCCTCCAAGTTGTATTGTCCCTCAGAATGGTAGCCAGAAAACTAAGCATGAATGTGAGGAATAATATGATTCATAAGAGAATGCTTTATCATCCTCTGTGATAATGATCTTAACATAAAGTCTACTGCATGTAACCTTGGATTGATCCCTTCAATGGATGACATGATGGGAGTATGGCTGACATATGAGCAACACACTTGATATAAAAGTGTGTAAACCATGACTTTATCAATATTAGTATTATGTACAGTATATAAATACTGTAATATAATTTGCTGCCAGTTTAGCGTGTTCATTTAACATATGCATTAATGTCTAGGAAATGTCATTTGTCTTGTAACGAGCATATAAACAAGTGATGTTTCTTTCCCTGATGGCAACTGTATCACAAAGAAGCATGTTGAGGATAAAAACATCAGAAAAACCAACAGTAAGAAATTTGACCCATTTCTTTCTATTTGTGAGGTACGGCAAGAAACAAGTTTTCTTCTATAAAAATTTCCCTAAAGTGGTTAATATACTTCTTCTTACCCCAAGAATAAATAAAATTAGGTCGAAGAATTGCACTTCTCATATTCTGGTCTTTTCCCTATTTTTCCCATGCAGTACAGTAAATACCACTGTCCTTTACTATAATCTTATTTGTCAAGAAGAAAATCAACAAAAAAGAATAAAAAAATTGCAATACCTGCACTAGATTTGCAGTTTTCTTGAGGTATGAGAGAAGTTAAGTTGTGGTAGAAAATAATTTTTTTTTTACACTGAGAAACATACAAAAGCTGCTGTATTATTTTACTTTCGGAAAACACGGGAATCTTAGGAATTTTATCAGTATTATTATCGTCTCGGTCATCCGGAGAATCTTAGGAATTTAGGTTAGGTTAGATTAGATACAGTTCCTGGTTCTGTGGCTAGGTTAGGTTGGTTAGGGTTGATTAAGTAAAATCAAAATCATTCAAAACACGTCGAAAACCACAGGAGAAACATAAGGATGACCTAAACCACAATTTTACCATTTTATCTTTGCAAGCAATAGTTTAAACAATTGCTGTATAAGGCACTTTTCTTCTATGATGTTTTCCTCACAAATTACCTAACCTAACCTTTGCAAGGGAAACATCATAGAAGAAAATTGTCTTAGAATCGCCTCAACTTTTGATTGCAAAGATATAATTCCTGGCTAATGAGTCGATCAGTGGTGAAGGTGATAAAAACGATTCCCGTGCTGTCTGAAAGTAAAATATGTAAAACTGCAAGTTTACTACCAATTGGTTTCTGACCAGAAATCTAGGTTAATCCAATGGTATTCGGTGTGATTCCTTCGAATTTGACCTTCATTTTGGTCAATTTATAGTATGGCACCATTCTTTCTTTGGGTATTAGAAATGTGTGTCAAAACCATAGAAAATCACCAAAGACCAACCTAACCTAATCAGGGGGCCCTCTGGTTAGGTTAGGTTAGATAGAACGGTGCACTAATATAAAAAGACCTTTTCTTTCCATCTAAGAAGCTGTGATTGGTCCTTTTATGACCTCCAGATGTCTCTGATAGTAGCATTTTACCTCTTGGGAAAACTACTAGATGTCTCTCAGTTGCAATTTCAGAGTTTACATGAATTTCCTACGTGAATTTACCATCTCGGTTATTACCCATTTGCTCTAACTCAATTGAAAGTGAAACTGCAATAACACCGTATAAAATAATGCCATTGTTATTACTTTTTACATAATATTTCCTAAGTTAATATTCGCTATTTGTTAACTTTAGTCCTATAATTCTTTACGATAAATCTGGCAACATATGTGAAATCTACAAAAAATTCTAAGACAATCTGGTAAATTTTTACTTCAGGACATGAGTCCCTAGGGGTTAACCAATATGTTTTTCCAGTGTATTTTGGTGTTTTAAAGAAATCTGACCTTCATGTTTTGGAGGAAATGGCAACCAATTAAAATGATTTTGGGTTTAATTTGCAGTAGTTTTGGCCCAATCAAATTTGAGTTTTATTTTGGGTCTCATATTTCAAAATTCAAATTCTTTCCGACCATGAAAGTCTGCGATGGGTGTCACTTCAATTATATGGAGCTGATTGCGAGTTTTTGGAAAAAAAACGAAGAAACTATAGCATTTTTTCGATCGCATGGTGTTCTTCCAACCTCAGTAAAGTGTCCTAAGTGAAAGACTGAATGTAAATATCACAAAGAACAACATATGTGGCGTTGTCATAACTCGTCAGCAATAAGGTAAGAAATAGGTGATTCCATCACATGGTGAGAGTCAGTTAGGTTAGGTTAGGTTTTTGTTTTTCTATTTGGTGTATTGTTTATTCGCTTAGCCATTATTTTTTGGGGAAAACGTGCAACGAAAAAAAATTGATAAAAAAAACCCGGTTAATTTCCGCCATAAATGAAGGCCATACTCGGTCTAAACACACACACATACACTAGAAAAATATATTTTTGACTTTCTAACAGAGTGGGAGGTGGAAGTGCAAATTTGCCTTTTTTCCTGTGTTTTGAATGTATTTTACCTTCAAAACTGCCTCAAATCACTCGTTTTTTAGTTCCCCTCTCACCCAAACCCCCGGCTCCCACGGGGTCCCCCATTATTGGAGGTAAGGGGGGGGGGGTTTAACTCATTTTTTACGACAGTTTGGAAGGTCAAATTCATTCAAAACATCAAATTACAAAGGAAAAATATATTTTTGAATCGCTAGATTATAGGACTAAAAGTAACATTTACCTAATATTCGTTTTAGCACTTCCTACGTGCTACTAACTCACTGAAGGTTATACATATTGGCACAATCTCACCTCTCATCCTCACTCTTACCTGTTAAAACTGCTACGTGTTTCGCCTTCTTGAATATCTCTCTAAACTTTGCCATGTCCGAGCTGGGCCGAGTTGATGCTGACATTACCGCTGCGGTTTTTATCTGAAGAAAGGTTTTTTGGGACTTCTTCAAGTGCCTAATGTTACTTAAATAACTTGCAATTTGAAGAACCATTGACTCTGCCGAATGACAAGTGTTGCAATGACGTCAGTGAACACTTGTTCGGAATCTGGATCACAACGAGGATAATTTTCACCCACAGCCTCACAGGTGACAGGCAGCGAGACTGCTCATGTTCTAATATAACCTGAAACGCTAGAATCACAGTTTTTCTCTAGCTTGTTTTTCTTTAATACATAAGACCTTAACCTAATTTATCGTATCCTATAAATCTTAATTTTTTACTCAGTTCTCTTTTTTTTTACATAATGTGAAATTAAAAAATTATATAGATCGTTCGTATTTTTTTTAACATTATCATGGGCCAAATTATTAGGTTTTAATTAAGGTCGTAACGATCTTCAAGGGTGAGGTGCTTCCCCGTCTGGAGTACTGTCAAGTATCACCCCGTCTGGATCCCGAGATATACTTGGGACTGTCAGTTGATTGAAAATGTTGAAAGGAAAGCTGTAGCGTTCGGTATGTGATCAGTTGTCAAATTTCTCTACGTTTGTCTATTTTTTCTTTGTATGGCCCACATACATACGTACACGTAGATCTCGCACTAAGGATGGAGGTAAGAAGTGAAACTCAATGCATTCTCCGTATATATATATATATATATATACCTCCATCCTTAGTAAGCCTCCTTCACCCTTGTGATGTTCCTAGATCAGCTCATGCTGTACCTTCGTGGTTTTGAGTCACACTTGATGTCGTCACAACGCTCTCTTGCGGATTGTTCAACCTCAAGCTGTGACCCTAGTGGGACGGGCATTCGCCATTTCCAGGTATGAAAACTCGACTTAGTAATTGTCCTCCGAGTTAATGATAAGTAGGAATCTTAAACCAAGACAACAATGTGCATTTGTTCGAAACAAGTACTTGGGTTCATGCAAACGAAAGTTAGTTACAAGACGAGCGAGGTTATCCTAAAACTATATTTTGTGCTTGTGAGACCTCACCTGGATTACGGGGTTCAGTTCTGTTCACCGTACTACAGAATGGATATAGAATCCTTAGAAAACATTTAGAGAATGACAACACTAATCCCGGGCATCTTAATTTGCACTCCCTCGAGAGACGCAGAGTGAGGGGTGATATGATGGAGGTGTATAAATGGAAGTCAGGGCTAAACAAAGGTGATATATGCAAAGGTACTCAAACTATCCAACTCAGCTTAGGGAAAACCCCTCGATCCCAGTGGAATATGTGGTTACCTCTGCTCTACATTATTATTTACAGTCTAATAATGGTTGCCCCTCGTGTAACGAGGATGGCCGGCCCAAGGTCCACCTAGGCGTGAATTTGTTTAAGATGTAAAAGATGTCGCCAACACAATAAGCACACCTCAAGTTAACTAGTTGCATGACCCAGTGTCAAGGAATAGTCCGAGAAGACCGGACAACTCGCCAACTGCACTGACTAACCATTACCCCAGAACACGATCCGCAAATCGATGAATATCTAGGTCCCCAATTGCTATTGGGTAGACAGAGGCAAATGGCCTGAAGAAACTTCCCATTGATTCACCCTGCCCGGGGATCGAGCCCGGGTGCGTTCACTTGCGAGGCGAGCATGCTGACCATTACACCGCAGTCTACATAATGCTATAAAATGCAAGTTAATTCTTTCAAGAATTTATAATAGTCATCTCTGCCAAATCCAGCTGAATTATTGTACACTTTCTTGCATGTGGATAAATAACTCGTATTTAATATAATTATCATAAATTAATTCTTAGACATAATAGATTTAATTACTGAGAAATATGGCCCCGTTTGTTGAGTTTGGGGTTCAGGGATTCGGTGTTGGGTTCATACTTGTTGACTCGAATCAGAAGAGTCGGTGTTGTTGATCTTGAGAAATTAATCAACGTTTTAAGATGTCGTATGAGACGTACGACATCGTCTTACAGATAGATAGGCGGAGAGAGGGACAAATTGTTAGATAAATATAGACAGATGGTTAGAGTTGTCCTAGTCGACAATTATGAACCCAACATGGAATCCCTGAACCCCTAGCCCAACAAACGGGGTCATTTTTATCATAAATTAAACCTATTATGTTTAATAATTTATGATAATTATATGTGAACCATAGTCTTCCTCACATTTTCTGTAGTTCTAAACTAGTACATTCTGAAATATTTTCTTTGTGAAAAAAGTATGAAATTGTTCTATTCGTTATTTTAACTCGTCTCCCCATTTTTATCATATTTTAGTACTCATATTCTTAAGTGACTTCTTAATAGGAAATAATCCGTCATATTTTCTATATTTCTATCTCAGTTCATTATTCGTGTATTTTGTTATAGGTTAATATTTTAGTCCAATGACGGTTTATCTTTTACATCCACTTAATTGTTAGAATTATTTTTGTTATATTGTACCATGAGCAGTGCCGGATTTAGACCTGTGGAGGCCCATGGGCAGCCTCTTTGTGGAGGCCCCCTCATTATAAGTACCCAAGAGGGTGGGGTGGCGAGTGAAGCGAGCCTAAACATCTGGGAGTTCCGGGGGGCGCTGTAAGCCCCCCGGGAAAATTTTGAAATTTGAACATTTCTTTGGAGAATTTTGAAGCCATATGCAGTTATATTGAGGAAATTAGAACATTGAGAAATTTTCAATTAACTGTAGGCCTATATTTATTGATAGTGTACAAATTCCCAACACACACAAAAGTGAGACACGACTGGAGTCATTCATGTGGTTTCAAGTCGACCAGCCCTGATATAGCTGCTACCGCACATGTCAAAAATTTTCAAGAATGAAAATAAAAATAATCCAAATGAATAAACAAATAAATAAAATATTGTAATATGTGGAGTCCCCTGGGCAGCTGCCCACTTTGCCCACTCCTGAATCCGGCCCTGACCATGAGATAAAGTGCAAATCTTTTATAGTATGCAATATTTAGTTGCCTCGTTACATATCAGCTTCCCGGTCCTGATGACGGCAAAAGAAACTCGTTTAGTGAAGTACTCATAAAAAAAATATGATATTCATCCAACCCTAACATAGCAACTAGCACCCTTGTTCACACACACACACACATACACATGTATGTGTGTGAAGAAAGGTGCTAGTTACTATCTTAGGGTTGGATGTGTGTGTATGTGTGTGTAAGAATTTTACGAGCGGCTACACAGCATTAAGTATGACAAAAAATAATAAAGAAAATTATGTATATTTATTATTATTTTTTTGTCATACTAATGCTGTGTAATCGCTCGTAAAATTCTCATCTGCAGTGCAGAAAGTTTTTCAATAAAGGTGCCAAATCTGACGAATAATTAGATTATTTGTTGTAATTATTTTGATTGTTTAACAGAGATATCTACAGCTGTTGTAGTTGTGCTGTTTTTCCATATTGAAGAGAACAGGTGGTGGTGATGGATAATAAAGGCCGGTTTAAAATGATTTGATATTTGTAACTTTGAGGGAGTCACAGAAAACGGACACCCAAGAACCGTCCCACAGCATAAACTGATGTCATGTCAAATATTCTCAGCAGCCTTGTTTGAATTTGTACATATTGGTTGTAATATTTAGCATAATCTGTCGTATATATATGTGAATATTATTGAGTAGCAATAGGCAAATCCATATTAAAATAATTCGTATTATGACCTTTTCATTTATATTCACTGTGTTCGAACGAAGTTACCAACAAACGCAGCCATCTTGAATTTTGCTCAGTTGTCTCTTAGCCGTGAGTGAAGGTGCATGTGTGCGTCCCTGCGGGGAGTGTGTAAATAAACGAGTGAAACCTCAAAACGTTTCTATTGCACTTATTTGAAATGTAGTTCCACTGAGTTTAAAGTCATTTGTTCTATAGTAATACAATAGCAGTGAAGTATTGTTACTGACAAATATTAGGTGAACCAGATTTGTGCAAGGAGCTAGTGAGGGTAGGCGAGTTCTTGTATGTGAGGAGGAAGCCGATTTTGACAGCAGATCAGCACAGTTTTAGCATTTTCTCCTCATGTAAGTACACCGAGGCATTGTTTACACTAAAGTGTATGATTATTGAATACATCGTGGAGTGTAAAATAGGAGTGTTGGTAAGTACACGCGTCCGGTGGCAGCTTTGTGGTATTGCTAATATTTGGAAGTTCACGTCTGGCTAACCCAGTCTTAATAATCCCGTGCTGAAACAGTAAGGACAGCCAGACTCTCTGCTGTTGTTGCTTGCCAGCTTGGCGTCTTGCGAGCGATGCACAAGGTACCTGTCACCGGTACTCGGAGCATGTGTGGAATGCTCCACCTAAATCAACTGTAGGAATTTTTCAGTGAGTTTCCATTTTTCCGGCTACACCATCTACCTAGACTTATTGTAAATGGTGGGGACTCGGGAATAATGTCTTGTAAGGTTGCTGTACACGGAGCAGCTGTCACATCCATCGTTAAACAGATTTTCAAGTGAATTTCCGTGTTTTTTGTTTACAGTGTAAATCCAGACATTGTAACGTAACCAACTCAAATAACCTAACCCAGTTTCTATTACAATCTTATCCCTGATGTTAATATGACCTGACCCCGATAACAACCGTACCCAGAAAACATCCAAATAACATAACCTTATCCAGATAACCTAAAGATGCAAGTGATAACCAAACAAAACTTACGATAACCTAACAAAGCGTAAACCAGATGATGAGCTAACTAACCATAGGGGATTCAACCATTATGCCAGACACGATGACTGTCAGCTGTAGTCTACCACCATGCTAGATCAACACTGGGTAAAGCTGTCCTTATTGATAGTAAGCTTTTGTGATGTCTGAGACTTGCCAGCGTGAGACGAGACAACTCTAGCTAGGTAGAAAGGTCTGTCTCGCCACTCAGCAACAAAAGACAGGGTAATCCTCAGCAACTACTGTTCAGCTCTGTCAACGTCTTGCTGCACGACAGGCTGTCAAGGTCCCACTAAACCGTCAACTGTGACAATGATTTAAAGTGTAAAATGATAGTGGTGGATTGGTGTCTTGTTACTTCACGTAATTGTGGACTTGTTAAGGACATAGGGGATTCATGTTGTGCAGCTGGTGCCGTGCTGTGCTGCTAATGTCATGTTATGCTGTTAGTGTCGTGTGCTGCCTTTGTCTGCCATGCTGTGTTGCTAATGTCTGTCGTGC